AAACTCAAAATGTTTTTGCGATTTCTGCGGCGCACGCGCGCAACCTCTCACAGGGGGTGAAAAACTGAATGTTTGTTCGATTTCTGCGGTGGGCGCGCGACCGTTCAGGCTGATCAGCGTGGTCGAGGTGCAACAACTGGAAGTTGCTGAGATTTCTGCGGTGAGCGCGCGACGTTTCACAGGGATCGGCGCGGTCGATGTCAAAAAACAAAGGCTTTGACGATCTGTGGCATTCCCGCGAGACCGTTCACACAGATGGGAGTGGTCAAGGTGCAAACACTGGAAGTTTTTTCCGATATTGGGCATTCCCGCGCGACCGTTCATGGGGATCAGCGTGGTCGAGGTGCAAACATTGCGACTTTTGGCATTCCCGCGCGACCCTTCATGGGGATCAGCGTGGTCGAGGTGCAAACACTGGAAGTGTTCTACGATTTGTGGCATTCCCGCGCGACCGTTCATGGGGATCAGCGTGGTCGAGGTGCAAACACTGGAAGTGTTCTACGATTTGTGGCATTCCCGCGCGACCGTTCATGGGGATCAGCGTAGTCGCGGTGCACAAACTGGAAGTGTTTCACAAGTTTCCGCATTCCCGCGCGACCTTTCATGGGGATCAGCGTGGTCGAGGTGCAAACACTGGAAGTGTTTTACGATTTTTGGCATTCCCGCGCGACCGTGCATGGGGATCAGCGTGGTCGAGGTGCAAACACGAAGTGTTTTGCGACTTTTCGCACGCGCGACCGTAGCGTGGTCGAGGTGCAAACACTGGAAGTGTTCTACGATTTATGGCGTTCCCGCGCGACCGTTCGTGGGGATCAGCGTGGTCGAGGTGCAAAGCCCGGAAGTGTTTTACGATTTTCGGCATTACCGCGCGATCGTTATTGGCAATCAGCGTGGTCAAGGTGCAAAACCTGGAAGTCGACCGTTCATGGGGATCATCAAGGTCAAAATCAAAACCTGGAAGTGCTATACGATTTTTGGCATACCCGCACGACCGTTCATGGGGATCAGTGTGGTCAAGGCGCAAATCCTGAAGTGTTTCACGGTTTTTGGCATTCCCGCGCGACTTTGCATAGGGGTAAGCGCGGTCGAGGTGCGCAACCTGGAAGTGTTTCACGTTTTTTCGCGGCCGTTCATGGGGATCAGCGTGGTCGAGGTGCATTCACTGGAAGTGCTTTACGTTTTTTGGCATTCCCGCGCGACGGTTCCTGGGGATCAGCGTGGTCGAGGTGCACAAGCTGGAAGTGTTTTACGATATTTGGCATTCCCGCGCGGCCGTTCAGGGGGATCAGCGTGGTTGAGGTGCGCAACCTGGAAGTGTTTTACGTTTTTTGGCATTCCCGCGCGACCTTTCATGGGGATCAGCCTGGCCGAGGTGCACAAGCTGGAATTGTTTTACAATTGTTGGCATTCCTGCGCGACTTTTCACAGGGATCAGCGTGGTCGAGGTGCGCAACCTGGAAGTGTTTTATGTTTTTTGGCGCGGCCGCTCATGGGGATCAGCGTGGTCGAGGTGCACTACCTGGAAGTGTTTCACGATTTTGGCATTCCCGCGCGACCTTTCAGGGGGATCAGCATGGTTGAGGTGCGCAACCTGGAAAGTGTCTTACGTGTTTTTGCATTCCCGCGCGTGGTCGAGGTAGTGTTTTACGTTTTTTGGCATTCCCGTGCGACCTTTCCACGGTATTTTCCGGGATTGGCTCAAGGGCTGAGGAAGCATCGCTGTCTGAATCTTGTACATGACGCACAACACTCCAAACTCAACAGGCAAGCTGCCAATTTGGTGTGATAATTCCAGGCCCCCGTCAGGTTCCCAAAGACATGTTGAGCCTCGTGGATTGTAGCACCACATCCATGCCGTGAGACACACTCACGCGCTTAGTCACTGAGTTGCGGCACGTACCTTTCTCTTCTGGAAGCAGCACAGACAAAAACACCCGGAAGCACTACGAGCTACAGAGCTAAAGCAATCCTCCTCATGCTTGTATGTGCTACGGCGCCCAAAAACATCTTGCACCTCTTACGGTGCCTAAAATCCTGCACTTGTCCTCTCGTGTCAGTTTCTGGGGCTACCAGGTGCCGTTTCAGGTTCCCACAACTCCACCTCGTCTGGTTAGGGTGAGCCAGCATCAGACAAGGTTGGGCAAGCTAGCGTCGAACGAGGCTGGGCGAGCTAGCGTCGAACGAGGTTGGGCGAGCTAGCGTCGAACGAGGTTGGGCGAATTAGCGTCAAACGAGGTTGGGCGAGAAAGCGTCGAACGAGGTTGGGCGAGCTAGCGTCAAACGAGGTTGGGCGAGCTAGCGTCAAACGCGGTTGGGCGAGCTAGCGTCAAACGAGGTTGGGCGAGCTAGCATCAAAAAAGCCCCGCTCACGCCCTCTTAGCTTCTACCTGTCCAGTTCCTCCTACACGCGCTTGCTCGGGCCTCTTCTTCTTTCTTCTGGCGCTTGCTCAGCACACTCCTACTGGTGCTTGCTCAGCACATTCCTACTGGTGCTTGGTCATCACCTCCCTGTTTGCTCAGCGCCTTTTGCGCGATTTTTGCTGACCCCGTAGTCCAGTCGGCAAGCAGTAGCCGCTCAGCCCCTCCGCCTGACAGGTGCCGAATCATGCAGCAAACGTACCAACAAAACGGACGCTCCTCAAAGCTCGAGTCAACTGCTTTGATCGCTTCTCTGCCTAGAAACAACAAGTGTTCGACTGTTGGAACTGGGTGCGGGGCAGTCGAAGATGTCGGATTTCCAGGCTCCTGTGTGGCAAGCGACGCTGGCTACTTTTTTCTACCACCAGGGCATGTAGGGCAGCAATCCCACTCGCAATAGAGCACATGTAAGTGCAACGTCCGTGAATCGTCGTGACCCGTGAAACTTCCGTTGGGTGTGGCTGTTTGTTGTGTCCTGTATGCGGTCTCAACATGCAACCCAAAAAGGGGGCCAGGGACAGAGAATCCAACATCGGTGCTGATAGTTGCTGTGCTCCAAGCTCCATGTAAGGAAGCAGTAGGCAACATCCCAAAGGTGAACAGGACACCCAAGCCAGAAGGGTCAGGGAAAGCCCCTCGAACACGCTGGTCCCCAGGAGCATTTGCGCCGGAATGCCTAAAAAAATGGTCAGGTTGTGCACCTGGACCACTGTGATCCCGATGAACGGTCGCGCGGCAATGCAAAAAACAACGTAAAACACTTCCAGGTTGTGCGCCTCGACCACGCTGATCGCCATCAACAGTCGCGTGGGCGTGCCAAAAATCGTAAAACACGTCCAGCTTGTGCACCTCGACCACGCTGACCCCCGAAGGCCAAAAAACGCAAAACACTTTCAGGTTGCGCACCTCGACCACGCTGATCCCCAAGAACGGTCGCGCGGGAATGCCAAAAAGCGTAAAACACTTCCAGGTTGTGCACCTCGACCACGCTGATCCCCATCAACGGCCGCGCGGGAATGCCAAAAAATGTAAGACACTTTCAGGTTGTGCGCCTCGACCATGCTGATCCCCATGAACAGTCGCGCGGGAATGCCAAAAAACGAAACACTTCCAGCTTGTGCACCTGCAGTCGCGCGGGAATGCTAAAAAACGTAAAACACTTACAGAACTTGCACCTCGACCACGCTGATCCCCATGAACGGTCGCGCGGGAATTCCAAAAATGTAACACACTTCCAGCTTTTGCACCTCGACCACGCTGATCCCATGAAAGGTTTCGCGGAAATGCCAAAAATTGTAAAACACCTCCAGCTTTTGCACCTCGAGCACGCTGATCCCCACGAACGGTCGCGCGGGAATGCCAAAAAACGTAAAACACTTCACGCGCAACCCCGTCCCACTTGCCCAAGCGAGTAGTCAAGCTGCGCCCTTGGCTCACGCACAGCCTGTGTTTTGCACCTGCCTGTGCAACCAGTTTTCCATTGCGTACCCACCCCTCAAAATCGAGGAACACGAGCATGCTGTGCTTTTAAGGAACATGCGTTCCCACCAGCGCTGCGCTGGACCTGGTGTGTGTGTGTGTGTGTGGACAGGAGCGTCTTTGCAGGGAGGCCGCTCCAACATATCTGGTTGGGACAAACCACTGGTAAAGCGCAGACGTGTTTTCCAACTAGAACCAGACACATGCGTAGATACGTCAGAGGCCCGAACTGCAAGGAGTTGCATGTGCACCAGCTTGTTCACTGCAATGTCTTATCTGTGTGAAGGATTGTGGCCAGAAAACGCTTCTCTGCTCTGAAGCCAAGAGTCGGCCAACTTGGTGGGACTGTTGCGTCCTTGGCCTGTTCTTTAGCAAAACCAGGGCATTAGATGACATCAAGCCTGCCAAAGCACGCAGACCTGCACTTGGCCGGCGGCCAAAATGCTTGTCTGGCAAGGAAAGCCAACCCAGCAATGCCTCCACGCACACCTGCAAAACCGCTTCAATTTTGTGTCCAACCCTTTGTGCCAAGAGCGTATCAGCCACCATGAGCAAAGCTGCAGTTCCGTCCTGCAAAGCTGTTTGATAGGAATGTCTAAGTTTGCGCGCAGATTGGAGGGAGCATTGCTGGGTGTCTACCCTGCAGAGTTCACACAGAAGGCCAGTGGCTGTGACCAATTTTCCATCGCACACCCGCCCCTCAAAATCGAGGAGCACGAGCCCAACCCACCCACCCCACCCACCCCAACCCCACCTCCAACGCCTGAGCGCGCGCTTGAGCGGGTGAGTGCGCGGATGACCGGAAATGTGAGTGCCACCCTACCCCTGTGCGGATTTGAGCGGGTGAGTGCGCAGATGACCGGAATGTGAGGGCGCAGATGATTCTGGCACCACAAGCAAAAATGAGAAGAGGTCGGTGAGTGCGCAGCTGACCGTAAGTCACTGACAAAACATGCTGGTAGTCTATCGTTGGTTTGGGGAGGACGACAAGGGAGGCCACCCAAATTTCCCACACAAACTGTCCCATGTCCTGACATGGGAAGCCAAATGTTTTGTCTCAGGAAAGCGGCAGAAGCTTTTATCGGAGCATCCAAGTTGCTCAAATGATGTCTCAACATCTGGGGATCCGCAAGGTGGGTGGTTAACTAACATCTTTGCTGTTGACTCAAATGGTTGTGGCACAAAATTACAGACCCAGGGAACTGCAAATATGTGTGATTTGTTTTTCTGCAAACAGGGCTTTGGGGGGGGGGTCCGCTACTTTTTGAGCCACGTCCAAATGAGCCACAATCGGGTAGATGAATGCAAGGGACAATCCCAACCATAAATGGGTTTTAAATTCTTCATACCAGGTTTTGATTATGACTCACCCCGCACAGGGGGTTGGGGGGGGAGGGGGGTGGGTGGGTGGGGTACCCTAGTTTTTGAGCCACATCCTCATGACGACAAACACACTGTGTATGGACGCGAAAGAAAAGCCAAATTGGAATGATTCGATTCCCCTGCTAAGCACCCATGAACCTTGTGGTTGCAACCACGGAACCCCCCAGGTGGTGAAGAGGATTTCGCCTCCATCACGGGATCTTTCAACACCCTCCGGGCCCCTGGCCGACGACGCAAGGTCCTCCGCCATGCCGGACCTCACGGCAGACACGGTGCCACACCTGAAGGCCTCCGGCGCTCGGCCGAGCCGGCCGGGGGAGATGTCTCGGGAGTGGTTTTCGGGGAGCGGATCTGTAGACTTGCACGTTTTGGTTGATTTTTTGGGTTTTTTTGGGAATGTTTTTTTTTTTTGGACTTTATCCTTTTGGGTTTTCCGAATTTAACTCAGCATGTGATCTGATTCGGGTTGTGGACTGTTACCCTACCACCAAGCAACGTGGAAGTGCACAAAAAGCTTGCCCATGTCCAAGAAAAAACCGTCTTTCTACAGGGGTCTGTGTACTTCTATGTTAGTCGGTGGGAGAGTACTTCCCCATTTTTCAAGGCATCCTTTGGGTGACATAGAGAGGCCTACCTTGGGCAGAGTGATGGTACCTCATGGCCCGGTGTTCATCTCCTCGAAGGAACCTCGCAGGAGCTTCGACCACTTTTTTTGCTGGGGGGGAGTGTCGATGAGAATACACGCATACGACATATTTGCCTTTTTACGGAATTTGGTTGGGGAGACCAGTATTTGTATTACTACCCGGATCTTGCCCGAAAATATACATAGATGGATATCTCTACTCATATAGTAAGTATGATGTGCGTTTGGTTGGTTTGAACGGAACCCAGGAGGAAACCATGCGGTTTGAGACACACTTTTTAAACATTGCCCAGATGGGCGAGAGGGTACCTTTATTTTGATGCCCCTCAATTGGTGGTTTGGGGGTTAAACCCAAGCTACACGCCGCAACATCCAAGCCACCAAACCAAACCACCAATTAGGGCAAAGGTTTTTTTGCTTTGGGTCCTTCTATTTGGGCCCATACCCATATATCCATCCCTGGATCTTGCCCCTTTTTCATGGGGCGATTTGAAAGGACACCAGACCAAGCCATGGCAAAGCCGCTGCCGATTAGTAAACTGCCTCCCCCTATTCAGATCCTGGACCCCCTCCCCAGCCCTTCCTCCTACTTCCGGTGCTCTTTGGCGCTCTCGTCCTCTCCCTGTCTCGCCAGTGGGACTGCAACAACAAAGTAGAAGGACATCGTCTCTGATTTTTGCCAGTGTTGGAGAGGGCCATGGTTAATCACAGGGCTTTGTGTTATTCGGAAGGGGGTACCCCTTGTGAGCTTGTCGGGCCTGGACTTCTTTTCCAAAGCACATGCATTTGGCTAGCTATTTTTTTTAGAGATCAGGCAACTCTCCAAGAGAGTTCCAATCTTGGCAATGGCTTTTTGTAATTTGGCCTGTATTTTATGTTAATTTCTCCGGGTGGTGGTGGTGCGGGGAGGCCAAGCTGGCAGGGATGCTTAGTGTTGTCCGAAATGGAAACTCGTGGTGAGGGGATTCAGGAAGCAGATTGGCATCAATCGGGGCTACTCATCTCCCAAGATTCTACTGCATCTTGCGTCCATAACCTCCATTTGCTTCGCCCTGGTGTTAAAGAAATCGATCGCTACTGGACATATGGGCGTGTCTTTTTTTTCGGGGACCTCTCCCCCCCCCCCAGAATAAAATAAAATAAGGAAGCAGACGGGGTTGGCTAAAGGTTTCCCCTTAAACCCCAACCAAAAGGGGGTTCCCCCGGAAAAAAAATGATGGGACCGACTTTTTCTTTGATTTGGTGCAGACCAAACTCTAGGGGATTATTTTCAACCTCGTTCTTTTTTCGGAAACCGATCGCTGCTTCCCCTGTTTTTTTGGTGGTTTTCTAGAAAGATCCGGATCCATGGAAAGAATGGAACTGGAAGTGGAAGCCAGCCCTGGAACTGGAGTTCGACTGCGAAATGCCTGGCGAAAACCTAGGAATGGAAATGGAAGCTACACGAAGACCAAAACATATGTGATGTGCTCTGGCAGGCCCAAGTGCATCGCCGGCTCAGCGCGGAGCAGTTGGCCTGGGACCCGGTGGAGAACTCTCGACACCAGGTCCTGAGAATTGTTTCCCCTTCTTGGTACCTGTCTCAAACATTCCTGGTTTCCCAAAGGTGGTTTGTTTTAAAGCCACATTTCTTGGTACCGAGTTTGTTTTAAACATCACCTGTTTGGGCGACCATGAAAGGTGAGTGTATTTTGGTGGAGGTGATGTTTTAAGTGGAAATATAGGAGCGCTGTGAGAGTGTGACGTTCCTTGTGGCTTGATTTTGGCTTCTTAGTTGCTTTGAAGTTGGGTTCGTTGGCTTTGACGACCCTCAAGTCTTTGTGGTTGGTTTTGGAGTGTTAGTTTCGAGTTTTGTTTATTTCCTGGTGCTTTTCATAATTGGCGTTGGTGGTTTGGGGAGTTGAGCCCTCTTCCTCTCGCACGCAAGCGTGGCAGACATCCCCAAACCGGTCAACCCCCAATCCAAAAAACCAGCAATGAGGGGAAAAGAGTGGTTGTGTGCCTCTGGTGGGCTACATCTATTCTCCGTTTCATTCGCAACATGTTTCGACTTGAGCTAGTGTGTTCTCATGGCCGTTGTGGGATGTGATAGTGCTCGACCAACCCTTAGTCCGTGCAGGTTTGACAAGCAAACTGCTTGAGATTTACCTCATGCTACAAGCATTTTCAGGGAGCTTTGCATGCATTCCGGCTTTTGTGTGTTACGCGAGCGGCTCGCATTGGAATATTGGCCGTTTTTCGAGACAGTCCCCCGCTCCTCTCGCCGGCTTTGCTGAAAGGGGAGCCGGAGGTGACCTTAGGTGAGTTTGTCAACGGGAAAGCCATTTGTTGTTTTTCTTAGGGGGGGTCCCCTTAAAGAACGACACACCCGTCTTAGTTTGGGTAGTGCCATCTATTTTATCTACGGACAAGCGGATGGGCACAGCACCAGTTTGAAGTGTTTCCTGCGATGTAAGTCAAGATCCCTTTGGTCAGTTGAGCATCTAGCTGCAAGTGTGATGATTGGCGGACTTTCAACCTACAAGCAGATCCAGCCGCAAGAGTTCTTTCTGTTCACTTGCGTTGCTACAAGCTCACTAGCTGCTATTTGTAGCCTGTTGAGAAGCCATGACCCACTTCTGTGTGTTTGTTTAGCCCACTTGCTGTTTGGGTGTGTCTTTTTTTGAGGGCCCTCTTTTTGGGATTGGTTAACCATGTTTAAAGGAACACCAACAGGAAACCCACTTCTTTCCTTTTGTATTGAAAAGGGGGCCCCGTTTTCAAAAGACAGACCAAGTTGTCTTGACTGCTATTGGGTTGGATCTTCAGACTTTAACTTTTTGGGAAATCAAGTGGCTTTCCACTAACCCCCCCCCAAAAGTTAAAAAAAATGCAGGGGGGTCAACAGCAACCCAGCTGTGGACTGCGAAACTGCCCAGTTTCAGTTCCGAATCGGTGCTTCAAAACGCCGCGAAAGGCGAGCATCCAACTGGGCCAGCTGGGCTTCCGACCACTACAGGCCTCGGCGTCGGTTCATGGACTTTGGCTTCGACTTTTCGAGCTTTCTCTAAGTCCATTCTTGTAAGACAAATCAGTTAACTTACCCCCCCCCCCCCCAAAAGAACAAAAAAAATAAAAAAAAAACGAAAGAAATGGGCGGTGTCTGAACCCTGAGTATGTTTGTTTTTTTGGGGGTGGGGACACTGAAAGGAAAACATGTCATCTTCTGGGTTCCCCCCCCATGTCCGTAGGTTTGGGTTCTGTGGGCCGTGTATGGGCTTGATAAAAGGAAGCCCAAAGAAAAAAACCCACCCATCTATGGGCGTTGGCCCTTTTGAGACACCCCCATGTGTCCCGATCCACCAAACAACCCAAGTAGGGAAATTTTGGGCTCTCAAAGTAAGGGTTCGGAAGCCTCCGAACAGGTGTCCCTTTGCTTGCAACTTGCTATCCCAAAAGTGTATCCTCTCTCTCACGGTGCGAGAAGCGTTGGAAGACGATTCCGTCACATGATTGTTTCGACCTGGACAGGTGCCTTTTGTTTTGTCTGTTTGCAGTGCCCCGTTTCTGTCCTTGATGGTGATTGGCACCAAATCCCCCTTCCCCGCACGGACACACACACACAAATAAAGCCACTGCCCGTCTCTCAGTTTGTTCTTGCGGTGTGCGCCGGTACTGTGTGTTTGTCCATTTTGGCGCAGGCCAGGCATCACTCGCACAGCTCGGAAACACATGTGCCCCTGTCAGATCGCGCAGTCGTTTTGGGATTGAGAGCGGACCGCCCTTTGGGCAAACTGTGACAATCCAATGTGTCCCGACTAAAAGCAGCACCCCAAGGGAAACTTAATCAACCTCGGCCCTCGAAACAGGAAATATATGGTCTTGAATTTTAGTAGGGAACCACCTGAAAAGCGGTTGGTGACATGAAGAACCCCAACCTAAATGATGCCCACCAAAGAGTTTGCTCATGGCTCCAGTGACCTCGAGTCTAGGCGTGAGAGCCGCTCTTTGGCAGGCGTCAGACATGGAGGAGATGATGGCACTGCGGGGTGGCCTGAGACGTGACCAAAGGAATCCATGGTCAGAGCCCGCCAAAGACCCTCCCAAGGTTTGAAGTCTTGCAGGGCAAAGGTTGGTCAGAGCCCGGCAAACCGTCGCATGCGGTGGGCGCGACAAGGAGCCCCGATTCTCTCTTTGGACCTGGTGCCCTTGGTCGATTTCTCCCTTCGGTGATTCCATGGACGCCACGAGGAAAGTCCTGTTTCCAAAGAGTGCTGGATGGAGTCACGTATGCCAGTCAACTGATCTACTATGAATCAACCCCCAGTTTTTTGATAAAGGGGTGTTCCCCTCCAAAAGCGATGATTCCCAGTAACCCAGGTACACCCCCTATGAATAAACTAAACTGGGAACTGCGCACACGCCTAAGCTGCATGTTTTGTTTTTTCCACGTCCCGTGTTTGAGGTTTTTGATGTGCATTTTGTCTGATTTGAACATTTTCAGATGTTCAGACAGGTGTGTTCAAGAAGAGGGGACCTCAAGCTTTTAGAAATCTAAATCCGGAATGTGAAGATCTAGATCCGGAAATACAGGCCTGGCCTGAATCCAAAATTCAAGATCCCAGTTATCGGGGAGAAATATCAGCCCTTTGGGCAAGACAACAAATGCGTCCAACTCCTGGGATTTACGCATAACAATTCTTTGGAGTATCAATCTTTGAATCCCAGGATTTAGATGTGGATGCAGCACCTTTGGATCTAAGATTTGGCCGAATACTCCTCTGACAATCTTGGATCCATAGGACGTGCTTACAAAGACAGACCTTCTTACCCCTCAGGACCGGATTTGAACTCAATGAGCATCCAATGGGGTATGCTGCGGGGGTCCAATACGTATATAAAATGCATACGGACATACATACGGACATACATACATACATACATACATACATACATACATACATACATACATACATACATACATACATACATGCGTACCTACCTACCTACCTACCTACCTACCTACCTACCTACCTACCTACCTACGTACGTACGTACGTACGTGCGTACGTACATACACACATGTGTGGCTTCTAACATGCCTGAGGTAGCGCAGGGTACGCCGTCGGCCGTCCAGGCACCAGGAGTGGTTTCCGGTTTCCTATGACCAGGACTTCTTCAAGAAGTCAGCGCAGTGCTGAGAATCATTGCCACTGGTTAAACGAGAGAGCGAGACCTTGGGTCCAAGGACCAACTTGCATGCCACAATTAAACATACCCCAACAATTTTGGGTTATACATGGGTTATACAGCCCTATAAAAGGCCTACTTGCGTGGCATGTCCATCTGGGGTATATATGTGAGTTGGCCCATAGACCGTGAGCCCAGGGTCAGCATCAAATTTGCAGCGCCTTGCGTGCGCCATTTTGTTTTGAGCACTGTACTTAGAGTTTCTCATGGCGATTTTGTTTTCTTTTTTTTTAAATGAAGTGCCGAGTACTGTGAGAGCACAAAGACATGCTGCGCCCGCCAAGTTGCAGAAACGCTCTCACGTGTCCATGGGAAGATGCGCCAAGTTGCAGAAACGCTCTCACGTTTCCATGGGAAGCTGCGCCAAGTTGCAGAAACGCTCTCACTTTTCCATGGGAAGATGCCAACTCAGCAAGCAGCTCCAAGATAAAGCCCAGCAGGGGGGAGAAAGGAGAAATTTGGACCCCCTCATGTGCTTCCTGAGTACTTTCTTGAGGGACCCAACACGTCGATTTGTCGACTTTCAGGTAGAGGGCCAGCTCTACTCCATGGTTGCGACCTTTCCAGCCGCGCCCACGAGTGGACCCAACGGGGAGGGAAGTATTTCGTGGGTTAAAAGGGAGCCGCCATTTTTTTTGTGGTTTTGAGACGAGTGTTCAAGAACACTCTATGGTCAGTTTTAGAACACGGGGGGGGGGTCTGACAATTTCCGCAAAACAAGTCAAGCGGGCAAATGTCCCCATGTTGTAAGGAAGTCGTAAAAATGAACAACTGGATTCTATGGGTTTCTCCGGTTTTGCAGGCTCTGAAGCCCACAAGAATACGTTGTTTTTTCTTTGGTCTCCCTTTAAACCAACCACCGCTTAACGGGTACCGAGACCCATACAACAGAACACACCGACACATTTTCCACTCAGGCACCGGCTTGGATCCTCGAAAAGCACCGGCTTTGCCTAGAAGACCAGTTTCCTCTCCAGAGGCCTTGGTGCGTTCCATGTTTTTTACTGGGAAGGAGGGTACCCTGGAATATATAGAAAAACATAGAACATTTATATACGAGAATACATGAATAACTACATATATATATATATATATATATACTTTCCCCCTCAAGAAACCCGGGCGCTCACCGGTTGCCAAGCTGAAAAGTAAAAGTAAGGCTCCCAGAAGTAAATGTTGTTTCACTTCAGGGAGTCACTCCCCAGTAAAGGTGAAAACAAGTAGGAAGTAGAGCCTTTGGAGCCATGAAAGGTGAACTGTAAAGTTGCCTGCCACACGTAACACTTGTTTTACTGCAGTTCGGGTTTACTTTTTACTTTTCATACGTCCAAACGTTTTATTTTGTACTTATTCACTTCTACTGGGGAAAAGGAAGGAAGCAAAAGTACAAGTACAACCTCTGGACCCATTTTTTTGTTTCAGGAAGTTTACTTTGCATGCCGCGAGTGAAGCGGAGCTCAGAGTGCTCCCGTGCTCTGACAGCCCCCACCACACCCAATGAATCATGGTGACCCTCGTCAACCAGGGCCATCCAAGTACTTTCCAAGCAGCATTTGTTGGAGATGTGTTTTGCACCGGCTCTTAGCCCATGCATCAAGTAAACCTTTGCAGTGGCGGGAATGGATGACATTGGCCACCTTTTTGTGGAAATTGCATTGGCTTGGCTTGTTTAGTAGACCAATAGTGAAAAAAACAGTTTCTAGGCGAGTGTTGCTTTCTGGCCATGATTTCACTCACAATCGACGCATCTCAAACAAAATCAAGAGAGGGATTGCAGTATCTCACTCCAGGGGAAGATGCGGACTTTCCGCAAGAGTCCAGGTATGTGGTTTGCAGGGCAGTCGCTTTTCTTGCGAGACGGGGGTTGTATCCCAACTAGTCAAAGGGCGCCCGGGGCTTTTCAAGGGTTCCCTTCACTTGACTGCTATTGGGTTGGATCTTTAGGCTTTAACTTTTTGGAAATCAAGTGGTTTTCCGTACCAAACCCCCAAAATGTGAGCAACTTTTTGCAGGGGGGTCGTTGCAGCAACCAAGTTTAGCCGCGTTCGGTGCCGTTTGAGGCCAGCCCCTCCAGCCGCGGGCCTCAGGGGCCTCGGGGCCAGGCCAACTCTGCCGAACATGGAACCCAACAGTCCGTGTTGGCTGTGGGTCAAAACCAATGGAATCCCATTTTGGGGTGCACCACCCATTTTAGTCTATTTTAGTGGGGATTGGGATGTTCACCGGCAGTACGGGAATTTGACCCATGGCCTGTTGCTTGGAACCTTTTTGTGGGGCCTCCTTAAGCTAGGTCCCCCAGCTAGGTGCCCTTTTACCGTTTCTTTGGGGGAGGATTCCCCTACTAAAATAGATTACAGAAAAAAGGGTACCCGGTACCCTTATTCGAACCTCTCTACTGGAGGACCTGGTTAAGTTCCATGCGAATTTGTAGAACGGCGAGTTGGAGAAGGAGAGCGCCGGGTTTTTGAATGCTCAAGACCAAGGTGCAGAGGGATGAAATCGCTCGCACCCATTTCAGTCTCAGGGCGCGCGAGGCGCTCTTGATTTGTGGGGCTGGTTGCACCTTCCGTTTGGATGGTTTCTTGGTTGCAACTGGTTTGATGCTAGATCACTACATTCCAGACTGTCCGCAAGGAACAGTTGGCATTTGACTGCTAAGCAGTTCCCCGTCGCGCAACGGCCAGAGGGACTGATGACATATTTGAGTAGTTTCAACTCGAAAGGGATTAAGCAACCATCGCCATCAAGTTGAAAAAAGATGGATTCCAAAGGCAGCTGTCTTCCAGGGACTGACTGCCTTGGCTGGCTGACTGGCTGGCCGGCTGGCTGACTGATTGAGGCTCGTCAGCTGCGCCAGAGGAGCGCGGTGGGCACTGAGTGGAACCACAGTTCCGGGTTGTTTGAAAATAGGGGACTTTTCTTTGGGGTGTCCTTATGCAACATCCCACAGCTATGCCCTCAAAAACGCCCGGTTGGTCTTCTCAAGCAAGGCTTGCTGGGGTAAATCTAGGCGAAGAAGTGAATGAAACAAAGCGGAGGTGTGGCGTCGCCGGAACCCGATGGGAGTTGCCCAAATGCACTATGACATATTTCCCTTGTCCATGAGGTCAGATTCACACCCGCTGGGAATTCTTGAATGGGCTTCACAGAGACGAACAAGGGGGGGGGGACCCCAAACATGGATTTCGTTCCTTTTGGTGTTCCTTGAAAACCCATGGAGCAGTGCCCATCCCTGGTCGACTTCGTGGGCCGAAACAAATGCCCACAGCTGAGAGCGTGCAAGAAGGGGAGAACTCCATCGTGCACGGTCACCTTGCATCCCGGGGCAACTTCACTGGCTCGCACGCGAGCCTGCGCTTGCGACATGCTGCGATCAATCATCTCTGTCAAGGAGGAGTACGCCAAGCTTTGCTTGTTTGCCAATGGGTGTGTCGCTTTTTAGGGGACCTCGGGGACCCCCAAGATTGTGTAACACCATGCCTCTGATCCACGGGGGATTGGAGGTCAAGGGCGTGAGGGTCATCAAACTTTCAAGGCATCTTGTCAGTGTCTTTGTGACAGAACCCTTGCATCCGCAACAGAACCATTAAGTTTTGACCGCATGTCAGACTGCACGATCGAGGTTTGCATGGCCCAACGTCAGATAGCAAGTTTCTTTTTTGGAATTATGGGTTATCCTGGGAGGAGAAAAGCTTTAGGTCTGTTGCGCACTATCTCTGGAAGCCGGTTTGGTCGCGCTTTTTGTGGATTTTGCCTGTTCCTCCCCCTGTTGGTCCCTTTGTTGGCAATCTTTGAGTCTATCCTACAGGGGTTTCTAGATGACACGTAACCGGTTTCTAGATGATCTTGCTGAAGCTCCATCTGGCAAGAAGTCCACTCTGGCTGTTGCAGAGGGTTTTCTGGGTTTCCCACCCCGGAGCAGCTCCAAACCGATTCTCAGCCCAACCAACTTGAGCTGATCGGTCTTGGGAAGCCAAGGGAACCCCAGATGAAGCCAGCGGTTGATCACTAGGGAGCGTCCCCTTTGAGTGGTTGGCTTGAACCCGGGGTGAACATGCTACCATTTGAGACACTCCCTCGCGTTTGTTTAGGCATGGACCGGTCAGAGAACTGGCTTTGGTGGAAGCAATATGGGTGTGTCTCAAGATGCCTCACAACATGGAGACTGGTTCCCTTCAAAACACCCCCCCAGAGAGAACTACCGAGCCTCGGCAAAGGAAGCACACCCCAAATCACCCAAAGGGAACCTATGTACGACATGTGGTTTTCTTTAAGCCACCGACACCCCCATCTTCTGGTTGCACCATGAGGGCTCCAGAGAACGCCAGGAGAGCATCCTTGGGATGATCACCATGAGCCGCTGGGCTGATGGCGTTGTAACATGTGGGTTCAGATTCACACCCACGTAGCGCTGTGGATTTGCATGTTCACTAGTGGTTCACCAGGGGTCCAGATGGTTGGTGGACACAAATCCCCATAGTTGCTTTAGTGTACCCAGTTTGGCGGTCTCTAGATTATGTTTTTTGGGCGGGTTTAAAGCCTTCATGGCTATTTGGTTGGATCTCGGCCTTCAACTTTTTGGAACACAGGGGGCAACCAAGAGGAGAATCGCAAAGGACGCCCTTGTTCCCCAACAGCTGAAAGCTTTGGGGTCTTAGCCCAGATAGGCTCCGGGGTGGTCCGGGGCGGCCCTCCACCAGGGTTCCACCAGGTTCCACCAGGGTTCCACCAGGGTTCCACCAGGGTTCCACCAGGGTTCCACCAGGGTTCCACCAGGGTTCCACCAGGGTTCCACCAGGGTTCCACCAGGGTTCCACGAGGTTCTGCGAGGGCTGCGGGGTGGTGCGAGCACTAAAAAGAGCACCGCATGCTGTTGGGGATATCACCTGAGCTTGTTTTTGTTTTTTTTTGGGGGGGGGCAAGGACACTAAAAGGCAACCTATTTAGGGCGCGCCCACTCTTGGAATAAGCCGCTGCCAGAGGGATGGCTTGCCTTAAAAAAAGTAAAACTTTTGGCGCTGGGTGAAGCGCTTTAAGTCTGGCGAATTCATAGGGTTTCATCCACCTCAGCTCCGAGAGTTTGGGCATCCGCAGTTACCCTCGTTTGACCTCGTTTGAGTCATAGTGGAGTTTGGGGTCTGAAAACCCTCCTGTGAGCTTCCAGGCTTCCAGTGGATGGTTTAAAGCCATGTGGACGAAACGTCTTGCATGAACGATGGTTTTCAACGTCACCTGGCTCGCATGGCTCGTGCACTTGGGGTACCGTTTGGGGCACAGAGGCACTTACTGCGAGCATCACAGCGAGGTGCGGTCCGATTTATAGGGCGAGGGCGAGCTGCGAGAGAGGGGGGCTGAGCACAATACGGGGGTGTCCTTTTTTTAGGGTTCCCCCCAGAATAGGTGGCTTTCCTTTTGGTTTCCCTTTAAAACCACCGGAAAGCCCTCAAACAAATACACACCCAAATGGAAACACAATTCCTGAGACATGACTGAAAGTGTTAGCACTGCCTGTTGCAGCAAAGCTGGTTTAATGCGGCTTTGCAAATAATCTGCTGTTGTCATGATCGACACATGACCAATGGGCCCAACAAATACATTTCCTGCTTTTAGTAGCCTGTGGCGTGCAGGAACTGAAGATCAGGTTTGCGTGGCTTGGGCCACTGCCTGGCGGAAACCCCTGGATTCGCCCAACTGAAGGCCGTGATGGATCATGTGCGATTGCCTGCAACAAAATCCTGGCACCTGCACCCTGATCAAGTGTGAATGGTGTCTCAGGAAATGTAGCACGGCAACCGGACCTATCAACTAGCGATCTAGATGTGCTCCAGCTACTGAGCCGTACAGAGGCTCAAAGCTGTTGCAGTCTAAATACGGCCGCTTGAACAAACGTGAGGCAAACGTTCCCTTTGCTCATAGACGGGAAGCTTATGGACTTCACTGGAATTTAGACAACCGCTGTAAACAAATGGGGTTCTTTTTTGAGGGTACCCTTTTTTAGTGCGTTCAAAGGGAAACCAAAACCAACACCGCCATGTTCTTTTCTGTTCTTCTTTTTGTTTTCTGCTTTTTTGCTGGGGAACACCACCACTTTTTTTCAATTTTGTTTTATTTGGGGGCAGGGTCTGCTATTTTGAGACAACCCCTCAATCCGTTCTCGAGGAAATGACCATGGCCAACAGGAATGACAATTCCCCCTAAATGCACCTTGACTAAGTTTGATATGGGAAATGGCGCCAAGGGAATCCCCCCATATCCCCGCTCCCTCCGTATCCCCGCTTGTTCGTTTGTCCAAGGTTTCTGCCTGTCTCCCCTTTAAGGGAGGGTCTTTTTTCGCAAAGAATCTCCTGTCAAAATGAGTTTTTTTTTTTTGTAAGAGCAAGATATTTCGGGTTGTGTCCTTTCCAACTCCACAAGAAAGGAACACATCCAGAGGGCATTGGGTTTTTTCACGGGTTCCCCTTTGGGAAACCGAAGGAGCACATCCCGAAACCGAAGGAGCACATCCCGGTGCTTTGGATTGGTTTGGACATGGTAACGTCCCCATGTTTGTTGGCTTAGGATTTGGCACCCCGTTCTCTCGCATTTGGGTGTCAACTTGTGGAAAGGGGGTTGGTGTAGGGAAACCAAAAGGACAACGACATCATGTTAGGGATCCCCGAAACATTTGAGATCAGAAAAAAAACAATACACCCTGAGAGTGCACGCTCCTTCCTAGTTAATTTGGTCGGGGAAGGTCTAATCCCGGAGTGGAGTACCTTGATGGCTCCGAGCCATCCGGTTCCTTAGCTTTTTCGCTTTTTGCTGTTTAGTGGGGATTTTCCATTTGCCCACTAAAAGTTAGTCACTTTTCGCCGGGATCTGAAACGGACAGCCTAGGTACCTTTTGCCTCTGAGAACCCATGAAACCGAATCCGCCGCCCACCCCCCCCCCCGGACCGCCGGATTACATGCCAGGCCATCGGCCAAGTGCTGGGCATGGACTGCGAGGCGGTTTGGAGCGAGTCACCGCCAGACGGCCCCCGAGTTTTGGTAGTTATCCCCTGTAAGCTGCCGGTGAGCCATTGGTTTTTAGAAAGGGGCCTTAAGTTTGGCCAGATCTTTTTTGTAAAGCAACTTCGTGACCGCGACAGTGTCGGTGGTTGGTTTGGATTGACCTGGATTTGGATTGACTTGGAATTGTTTTTGGTCTTGATTTCGAGTCTTAGATTCGTGTATGGCTTTGGTTTAGATCTGTTTCCGAGACCGCTTGGGCCATTTCGATGGTTTTCATTGGTACTCGTCAAACCAAAAAGGGGGGTCCGCATGGAGACAAGGAGTCCATTTCAGGGCTTGAGTCTGCAAAATAGCTTCCGTGAACGATGTTCGAGTTCTTCGTGGTTCTGATCTGGCTACCCAGATAGATTTGAGAAGCAAGGACACATCACATAGTTCGGAAGACGGGATGGTTCGGCAGTTGGAAGACAGCGAGACTGGTCGACGCCTTCCCAGTCTTTTGAGCCGCTTTTCGAAGGGTGTTCTTTTCTAAACAAAGGAAACCAATCAACAGAAGGGGCTCCCTATTTTGACCGCATACCCTCCAATCATAGAAGCTGACAGAAGGGGCTCTTTTTGTAGTGTCCAAGGACAACCAAAAGGACAGCCATGTCACCCATTCCTCCAATTGCAGAAGCTTCAAAGGCATACCCCACGTTCCCTGGGGGTGGACATCTCACACCCCATCTCCCCAACGTCGGCTTCGCACGGAGGCGGTCTGCGACCGCAAGCGCCGGCGCACACCTGCTGCCGTGGAAGAGGGGGAGAAGCGCACGGAAGACCCAGACCGAACGGGGGGTGGTTTTTTCGAGAGGGAGACAGTCTGGACCTTGGCGTTCTCTGGCGGTGATTTTATATATTTTCCCCATGTGTGGGAGGGCTTTGGGGGTGGTTGTTTGTTCCCCCCCAAAAAAAAGCTGACAGCGTTTTGGCAGTCGATAGGCCCAGAAATCGTCTCGTTTGCGGTGGTTCGGGGCAGCTTTCAGGGGGGGGTCCGGAGGTGTTCCGGTTGGTTCCGGGGCTATTGGGACTCGATGCCGCCTGGCTTAGTACTTGGTGGTTTGGATTGGTTTGGGATTTGAATCCCTTGGCTTTGGTAGGGGCTAAATGGAACCCCCCACTTAGCACCAAACCACAAACCCAAGCCACCAAAACGAGGGAAGCTGATGGTTTCAGCTTTACTGGCCCAACACCACCAAACTAGCCCAACATTCTGGGAACCAAATCCTCAAGACAACAGTAGAGCCACCGCTCAAGCCGCTGAACCAGCCCTCATGCCCCCAAACTTGAAAGCAGAGCCAATAGGCAGCAGGTCCAAGGGATGCTGCTGATTCGGCAGACCTGGTCCTGGTGCTGCCTGCCCAAGGAAAGCCCACCAGCCCGAGTGAAGGAACTAAACACCTGCTGCTGCTGCTGCTGCTGCTGCTGCTGCTGCTGCGGGAAGGCAGCTAAAGGGCACCAGCTGTGTTGGGGTCACTTTGCACCTGCTAGTGGACGCATAGCAAGCAATAACCGTTTTGATCAGAGTGCCGGAGCTGCTGTTGTTGTCCCCTGACAGGGAGTATTGGCATGTGCAGATAGAACGGGCACACAACTTTGCTGGTTTACACAAACAGGAAATACATGGACACCTACCATTCTGAACATTCCAACAATTCAGCAAAATCCAGGTGAAATTCAACCGAACCAAGTTCGAATCCAACTCACATAAGAGATCGTACGAACGTAAGGGAGTCCTAACATATTTGACACGTCGACGTGTCCGTTTGGGTGTGTCTGAAAACAGGGACCCCCTGAGATTGCCCACAAACGTTTTGGGTATTGCCTCACAAAGGGGTAAAGGGGTATTGCCCGCGCTGGGCCCCATTTTCGGTTTCACCCAGATGCGGGCGCCCTTGCCTACATCTTGACCTTGGGCATTGCGGACGGCTTTCGGAGGCGCCGGGTTTCGGGGCCCGGGACAAAACCGCGTCGTATTACCCCGTGCCGAAACATGCGATCCGTGGCTGGAAGATGTGGGAATCTGGTGTGACACATCTTGCTGGTGCGAGAGCTGCAGGGAATGAGAGCATCCAACTGGTGGTTTCCTTTAAGGGGACCCAAGCCCAGGTTCATTCCCACATTCTTTACTGAGCACCAGCAAGCTTATTACCAAATGCCATGGAACCTGATATTTCGAGGGGTCTTGGGCCAGCCTTGGGGGAAGATGTTCCATGGTAAAGTGGACAGGGTGTCTTGCATTTGCCGAGCAAAGATGTCTTTCTTTTTAAACTCATCCCCTGGTTTTTCAGGGAATCGATCACTGGATGTGCTTCTATTTTTCCAAGAAACGTAAACAAATAGAGGTTATTGTTATGTTGACTGGCTGCTCAGAAGCAGTTGCCCCAGGCAGACCAAAGTCACTTCAATCAACAGTAATTAGCATTTGGCAGTCGCAGAAGTTGCTTGGATATAGTGAACCAACGGGTGTCTCTTTTTTGTGGGAAGCCTTCGTTGGTTGGTTTTGACGAGCAAAAAGCTGCCTACCATTTTGGGAGTGCCTTATGAGAAACCCCAATGCAAAGAAGCCATGTCCATTCGGTTAGGCCATGGCGCATTCGATGCGCAAAGTGGTTGGCACGGGGTCGGACTGTTGATGTCTATGTCGTTGGGTGTTGGATCGCTTCCAAGTCCCCCTCCCCCCAAAAAATGTCTGCTGGGGGCCTTGGCTGGGTGATCTTAGTCACCTCTCCCCCCAAAAAATCTCTGCTGGGGGCCTTGGCTGGGTGATCTTAGTCACCTCTCCCCCCCCAAAAATGTCTGCTGGGGGTCTTGGCTGGGTGCCTAAAAGCATGCTGAAAGGGAGCAATTGCGACCACCAGCACGATGCAAGCACGTACACCAAGGAACCACAAGCTTTCCCAACTAAAAAACAACGGGTTACTGGGTCCCTTGATGATTTTCCCCGACCTTTGAGTATGAATTTTATGAGTGGGACCCACCTTACAAGTGGTCGGCGGACATGAATCCTCACCCAAATGATGTCCCAACGGTCCCCTACTGTGGGTGGACGAAATCCTGCACCCTAAGAAGTCCTAGAATGATGATTCCCCTGTCAATACCAACAAACAAACGGTTTCCCGGATTTCGTCCATCCACAGTATTAAAAAGTCGCACACCATTTGTTCCCTTGCGTTTGTTGTGGCTTTTTTAATTCTTTCATATGAATTGAATAATTGAAACGAGCTAATTTTTCGTAAGGGATAAATTGTGACAATTTCATTAATTCAATCATACCATTTTTATCTTTGTCTTTTGGCGAATTGAGTTTCTGCAAATTTCTGCGTGGGCTAAGTTCTCTCCGTCGCTCATCTCTCCAGGCGGGGCCTCGCGAGGGAGCTGCTGAGGCCTCGCGAGCTTTTTTTGTTTTTCTTTCGGATGCAAAGGCGGGGTTGGTTTGGGCATGTGGCTCAAAATTAAACGATCGGAGGGGCTAACCGCAGGTTTTGGTATATACATGTTTCCACTTACCAGGGTTCAAGCCATTTTGGTTTTTTGGCGTTTTCGCGTTTCAAGTGATTCATCTTCTTCTTTTGGGTCGTGGAGGGTTCTGGTTTTGGATGTCGCTTGCAAGCTTGGATCCTAAGGTCAGTGAGTGCCCTAAACACCAAGGTCTTCCCCAAGCTGAGATGTGACCCTGATCAGGAATCCTAGCACTGGCTTTCCTCTTTTGAACCCAAAGGCGGGTACCACCTCCCAATGCTCCAGGGGTTGATTCCCCATTCTTTGCAGCCATCGTTCTTTTCAAAAAACCGATTTCCCATTTCCCCCGGGGTTTTTATGGCGGTTTTCTGGGAAGATCCGGATTTTTGGGTTCAGAATGGAAGTTACCCCGAGAGTTGCCCCGGATGCTCAGCGCGGGCGCTGCGCCACCAGGAATTTCTCAGCGTTTCGAAGCGTCGTTTCGAAGCGTTGCGCGCGTGGAGACCGCCTCAGGCGCTCCATGGACTACGTGGAGAAGGACCTGCCGGAGGCGGGTCCGTCTTTGTGTTCGGGGGTCATTTCTGGGGATGGTGGTCAAGACTTCCAACCAGAGTTCGCCCCCCGTTTTGCTTGCTTGATCTTTTTTGGGGTTCCCTTTGTTTTCCACGAACCAGGCAAAATATATATATATATATATATTTTTGCTGGGGTCCCTCTTTTCCAGCCCAGAGGGATCGCACTTCTCGAGTTCCTGGACTTTTGTGGTGTGGCGTTTCTCTCCACTTAACCGACTTGACCGCTAAAGTTTTCAAACATTTGCTCCCTTCCAAGGTCAACCAAGTTCTGGGTTTGGACTAGGTTAGTGGAAATTCAACTATTGGCTACTTTTGTTGTCCAATCCACTCAGCAAGTGAAAGAGGGATTTTGTGATGGATCACCACTTTCCCCTTTTTTTCAACGATGGACAGCTCTTCTGAAAAGTTGGAACCATGACCATAGGCCATCGCACTGCGATTGCAGCTTGCCTTGTCTCTATTCGACATGCTGCACCTTCCGGCTCCTGAAATTCAACGCAAGTGGCCTGGCGCGGTTCAAAAGGGCAGGTCCCAAAGCAAAAGGCAAAAGGGGTGGGGCTGAAACTGAGATGTGAGGCGCAAACCATAGCTCAGCATTGCAGCTCGACACCAAGCTCGCCTTTTTCAAGGTTGAATGAACGAAAGTTCGGAAGGGCTGACGTGGCATGGGAAACACGGACTCGGGGATTCAATTTGTGGCATTTTTTGTTCTCGGCCGGGAAGGGCTGTGGGGGCTATCCTTGGCTTATCCAATGGCCTCTTTCCCATGCGCCTTGGAGGTTCACGACCATGCTGAAAAAGAAACGGGCTTGTCTCAAACTGGGGAACCCAAAACAATGCCTTTGGGTTTCCTTTCCGGCTCGCAGAACCAACCAAGGAGGGGTTCCCTAAAAGAAGGAATGCGCCCTCAAGAACGCTCCCGGCTCCCTCCATCCATTCATGGTTGTTGTTGGGAAACATTTTTCATTTTTGCTTATTGCGGTTTAGTGGCAAATCCCCACTTAACTGCTAAAATTCAAATGTTTGCTCCCATTCCAACGTCAACCAAGCATTGTTTGTTTTTTCTTTTTTCAGCCAAAGCTTCAGAGAGAGAGAGACACCTCCCCTGCCCATGCAGGCGCGAGACCCAGATTCTCCCACGTGCAAAAAAAAACCATGTGGCTGTGGTTGTCAAACCCGTTAAACGGGATCCCATTTTGGTTGGGATTGGTGAATTCACCACCCATTTTAGGACCTATTTTAGTGGGGATTGGGATGTTCACTGGGGGTACGATTTGGATTTTGAGACCCGTGGCCATATATTATGTTTCTCCCCAAAGGAACACAAGAGGGGATGTTCCTAGACCCCTAATACAAGTAAAGGCCAACTTCAGTCTTGGCAGATTGCCAATGCATGGCTTTTCGCTCTTGCAACAAAATCGAACCAACGCTTCTAGCCTTGAGAGTGGCGCATGACATTTGTGTATCGTTCTGAGTACAGACTGCCTCGTGTTCTGCGCGAGGTGCAAGCCATATTCCTGCACTGCCCTTAGGATCGCAGTCTGTCGACCTGGGTTTGAGCAGCTCGAAGCAGACACATTGACGACGGCCCTCGCCCAGGAATTTGGTTTCACCACTGTCGGCATGTTTTTAGGCCTTTTGATTCTGCGCCTTCTTAGTGGGGGGCTGCAAAACAACGTTGTGTGCAAGCCAATACCAAGGGTTGCAAAGGCAGAATCTAGGCCGAATCCAAAGCAAAGTGGTTTGCTACCATATGGCTGTGGCTCCAAAAAGCGGAATTCCAAAATGGCTAAGTGGGAAACTTGGACCAAAACCTGCGGAGCCAGCCCCTCCGATCGTTTAATTTTGGGCCACGCCCATATAATAAAGGATCAAAGGCCGAGTCTTGGCAGAATCTTCCCCTCAAGGCCCGAGTCTTGGTTCCGCGAACTCTCTCCGGCTATCCGAGGCATGTGGTCACCTACAATGAGGCGGCCATTCAGCTCTACGAGTCCTCCAGGTTCGTGGATTTTGAGATTCGTCTCTTTTGGCTCCGCGTATCCAAAGGTCCGGACATGATAGGGTAGAATGGACCCTAAATAGAATGGACCCTGAATAGCAGAATAGCAGAATGGCTGCCTTTTTTTGGTCTCTTCATCTTTTTGTTCTTTTTTTGTTTCTTTTTTCGGAATGATATTTCAATCAAATTAGAAGGGGAGAAAAGCACCACAACTTCATCCACTTGCCCAAAAAGCCTCCGGCGTTTAAAGTCAGCCATGCCAGTGTTCGTTTCGGGTTTGGGATGTGCCGACCATCGCGGGTTCGGGTTTTGGATTTCGGGTGAGCTTGTGAGTAGCTGGTAGCGAGAGCTTCGGACTGCTGGCCGCATGGAGATGTCCTCATACCAAGCCACGCCAGACCCATGCCCTGAAGCCC